TACAGTACAGTCCGTCCAAGTACATTGAGCACATGATACAAGAACACGCTGTCTGGTTGCGGCAGCAGTAGTCGTGCGCGGTGAGCGGTCAGGGAGCGTCCAGCCGCAAGGGCCGCGAGGGGAGAGGCGGGGCGGCACACAGAGCGCCCGATTGAAGTGCGTTTCACAACATTTCCAGTGCGAAATCGATTCAAACGGAGAACAATGCAACCGTCCCCCCGTAGGTGCTAGGACGGTGGGAGCACGGCAAACAGCTGTTGGGCCCCGCGCGGCAAGTACGTACACACACCGCCCCCCGCGCGGCGGCGGCGGCGGGGCTCCCAAGCGGAAGCGACGCCACAACACACAGCCCTAAACGCGCATCACCGCCAGCGATAAACTCCTTCACGCCGCCGCTGAGAGGCTTCTGAGGGGGCTCCAGGAGGCCTCGGAGGGTGAGGGGGAGGGGAGGGCGGTGGATGGAGTGGTGCAGTGCGCCCGCCCGGGTGGAGGAGAGTGAGGGGGTGCCTGGCGCGCCTATCCATGTTCAAGATGAGTGAGTAGGGGGGCCTTGAACGCACGCGCTCGCCCGCCCCGCCACGGGACTACCGGCGGCTAGACGCTGACGCACCACCACCTACCTCGCACCTGCGCAGGGTCATCGTCTCCTACGCAAGGGGCCGACCAGGGCGAGAAGCAGGGCCGCCGTCAACAACGCGGACTATGAATGAGGTACTTGTGGAACTCCAGAAGTTTTAGTGCTTTAGAGGCAGGGTGGTCCATGTTACAGTGTGGCCGGGCGTGCTGTGCGGCGTGCTGCTGCTGCTGACGGGCAGGGTGCTGGAGGCGCACCGCGGCCAGGAGGCGGCCACGCACTTCACCAACGAGTGGGCGGTGCGCGTGGAGGGCGGCCCGCGCGTCGCGAGACTCGTCGCCGCCAGGATGGGCTACTCCTTCAAGGGGCCGGTAAGTGTTTTCTCGCCGGGACGGTGGTGGAGCAAGGGGGTGGTGGTGGTGGTGCAATCTGCGCTGTACACAGAGGGATCGCGCGCCAATTTGTCCGGATTAAGTCGCCGTCGGGGCGGGGCCACTCGGCCGCCGGCCTTATTTGACGGCGCTGCGGGGCGCCCCGTGTCGACGTACTATATACAATTTCGGAAGGGGCTCTGCACAAAGTTGCGGGTCCGTCTGTTTGGCCCGATGCCGTGGCCGTGCCCTCGGCGCGATCCCGGGGCTCTGCTGCTGCTCCGCTGTGCTGCGCCCCGCGCCCTGACCGTACGGCCCACGGCCCCCCCGGACCGATACCCCCCACGGCACACAGCAGCGGGCCCCGCCGACCCCGACCCCTGCCCTACTCATTCGGTACAGCTCGCGGAAGGGTACACGCGCCGGCGGGCACTCCCGCGAGATCAGCGAGGGGAAGTCAGCAACGCTCGTCCAGTTCCAGAAACTGAAACAGCGTTACCGATTTTCATTTCTCATCGGAAAGGGGCCGCGGCGAGCCCGCCGCGGGGCATGTCCACGACCCGTTGCAGCAGCTTAGGACGGGGGCACGCGCCATGCACCTCTGTTTGGACGAGAATTCCAAAGCGAGAGGTGCAACGCGAGCGAGTGCGACAAAGAGAGCGTGCAACTACTGTCCCGCTCCCACTACAGCCGCCGCGGCCGCGGGGAGGAACGCGGCGGGGTGAGGTGGGGGAGCGAAGGGGGGCGCGGGGATAGGGACGCGGTCGACCCGCGAGTCCTCTTGGTCGCCCTCCTCGCCCGGCTACGCGCCCGGTAGAGGCGGCGCTCGTGCTCATGCGTGGCCAGGAGACGCTCATGCTTCGGCAGCGCGCGCACCCGGGGGAGGGGGGCCCGGCGCACGCGCGCGCATCACAGCCGTCATCGGGGACCTGCGCGCGAGCGGCGCCGAGCACCGCGGTGCAGGCCGGCGGGCCGGGCGCGGCGCGCAGGCTGCGGCCGGGCGGGCGGGGCGGAGGCAGGGTCGACGCGCGCAGGGCGGCCGCGCGGACCCGCTCCCCCACCCCGTGAGCGGCAGGAGGCCGGGCCGCCGGGCGCAGCTCGCGGCGCCCTACAACAACCTCTCCGCCCCCAGCAGCACCATGATGGTGAAATCCTCTATGTTCCCAGTGATGAATAAACGAAATAATCAAAGGCGCCTTGCCTCGTGGGAGCGAGCGCCGCAGTCAGATGCGCGCGCAGGGCGGCGGTGGAGGGGGCGTCCTAAGCCCTCAGCGGGCCGCCGCGACGCCCTAAAGCCCCTCGACGCTGCCGGCGGCGCCCCGACGCCGCCGCGCCGACCCAGCGCCGTGATAAGAGAGCTGGAGACGCCACGCACGGCGCACCGACGACTCCACTGCCTCCATTGCCATGCACGGCGTCCTCCAGCGGGGCCCGCGGCGGGGCGTGGCGGACACGGTCACGCGCCCACGTACCTCCGGGGGGCGTGGGGCCGCGGTGCGCTACGCTGCGCCGCCGTGCGCGTGCCCGCCGCGGCCCCCTCCCCCGGCCCGGAGGCCTCACCACGCACGCGCGCGCGCGACGCCGCGGCCAGGGCACCAGCCCGCCGAGGAGGTAGCCATACACGCGTCGACGACGCCGACGTCGGGGCGTCGGTCCCGGGGTCTTGCTACTGCACTAAATTTACGTCGAGGGGGAGCGAGGGGAAGGACGGGTCCGCCGCCGCGCCTCGCGCGGTGCTCATCAGACCGAACAGCTGCTACGCGTCGCGGGGAGGGGAGGGGGGAGGGGCGCGGTCGAGGGGAACCGCGTTCCCCTCATATGACACGGGAGTTGCTCGGGACAGGAGGGGGGTGGGGGGGGGGCTCCATTCAAACTGAACTGCCAACGTTGTGCCTCACCTACACACACAACACTGCGTGCACGTGACAACCGGGTGATTGACTTCACTCGAGAATGTCATTTGGGGCGGGCGGGCCTCACTATCGAACTTGGAGTGTTGTTGGCGCACCAATGCTGCTGCTTGCGAATACAGTGCGAGGGTGAAAAGTAACCATTTCCAAAGAGATCTTGCGTTCCAAATTATATTTGGGCAGCGTTGCATTGCAATGTATTGTTTAGTATTGGACACTAAATTTCGAACGAATCACAAAGTCAAAATGCCAAAAAAACAGACAGGTTGACATTACGGAGGAAACCCCTTGACCTGTATAACAGCTGAAAACGCTTTACTTTCGCCCTCAGCGCGAGAACGCGTTTGGCAAAAAAATGTGTTTTTATTTTCCCAGATTATCGGCTTTAGCAACACCTACCTGATGGTCAAGGCGGACAGCCCTCGGACGCACAAGCGGGCGAACCCTCACCTCACGGAGCGGCTAGTGCAGGACGACCGGGTGAGTGAGTCCTCCAGTAGAAGCAGATATAGCTACGGAGAAAAGAATACGAAAGGTTATATAGCAACAAATCCGATTCGCAAACTTCTGTGCCAAAACGGTTGAGGATTCGGTAAAACTTGTGGAAAAGTGTCCTTCCCTCAGGCACCGAGGCGAGAGAGAGGGAGAGGGCTGGGCTGTCCCCCCCTCTCAAATTGCCATGGCTGCCCCCGCGTCGCATCGTGTCGTGCACCCGCGCAGTTTCCCTATCGGGAGCGCCAGGCAGAGCAGGCTGATAGGGGGCGTTCCATTACTTGCTGTTTGCTCGACATTACCGGCAAGCCCGTGTTATCGCCGTGTCCACAACCCGCGTCATTGATTAGAGGGGGGCAGGGAGGAGAGTGCAAACACATGCCATTAAAACAACTTTTAATCCCGACAGGTGGTGTGGGCGGAACAGCAGTTCACCAAACCGAGACAGAAGCGGGATTTTATTCAAGTCCTCCCGCCCGACGACGGGTCCCCGCCTCGCGCCGCCGCGAGCGCCGTCCCGCGGCGGCGGTCCCAACTGCGGCGCCGCTACGCCGCGTCCGAGTCGGCGGCGGCGGCTGAGGCGTCCGCGGCCGGCGGCGCCACCTCGCGTCGGGAGGACGAACTCAACGCGACGGCGGCGCTTGCAGGAAGGCTGGGCTGCGCCGCGGCCGGGGTAACGCCGGCGCAGAGCGCGCGCCTCTTCAACGACGAGCTCTGGCCGCGGCAGTGGTACCTCGTAAGGACTACAACTATTTTCCTAATCAACTCTAGATTTAGCATCTGCTCACCGATTGTGTGATTTGTATCGAAATGAAAAGGTATCTTTCAATTATGAACCCTCTCCAAATCTGGGCCCTGTAGCTCAAACGGTTGAAAATATATAAATTCCTAAAGTTTTGAGGCAAAAATAGCGGCTTTAGGAGGTGGTATAGATAAACCTCTATGAATCTTTGCATTTGAGTAAAATCTGACTAGACCATTGGAAAGAAAATCAAAAACTGATCAAAACCACTAATGGCAAAAAGTTGGATTTTATGTTAACTACCCTCCGATCAAAACTAACAAAATTTAGCAGAATAACAAGACTCAAAATTTTGTGGTCCTCAATAAAGCATTCTGGTCAAACTGAAATGCAGAAAATTTAGGAAACAAGAAAATGGATGTCACTATGTTAAAGCATAGCAATTACCACTTCATTTTTCCCCGCATTCTCCAGCATTTCAGCTTTACCGGAATGTTTTATTGTCTCCAAAATTGGTTTGCAGCTTCCTCCATTACAATCTCTAATTTTTGTAGACGGGTCATCTTCAAATTGTCATTAAAGGACCCCTCGTTGCAGATGGACACGCGCACGCGCCTCGACCTGCCCAAGCTGGACCTGCACGTGCTGCCCGTGTACTGCAGGGGCATCACGGGGCGCGGCGTGCGCGTCACGGTGCTCGACGACGGCATGGAGAAGGACCACGAGGACCTGCGCGACAATTACGTGAGAACGACGATGCCCTTTTCCTCGCCTTTTCCCAATTTGCAAACTTCCTTCAGAATCACGACCAACGACTCCATGTCACCGCCCCACAGGACCCCGACATCAGCTACGACGTGGACGACGGCGACCTGGACCCCTCCCCGAGGTACGACCCGTCGACCTCCAACGCCCACGGCACGCGATGCGCCGGCGAGATCGCCATGAAGGCCAACAACCGCAAGTGCGGCGTCGGCGTGGCCTTCAACGCCAGGATAGGCGGTGAGTCGGGTCGGACCAGGGATTTGCCGGGCCCCACACCACCAGCTCGCTCGAGGTGGCGCGACGGTGGACAAGAGCGCCGGAGGGTAGCGCGTACGTACGTATTCCATTTCGCGACGCCGCCCAACATAATTCTGCCGCTCGAGCAAACAGCGACGCGACGTCCGCCGCGCCACACCACGCCACCCGCGAGGGAAGCAGACGAGAAATTTGGTATTCGCGTCGCGAAGCCCGATACGCGGCACCACCTAGCGGAACATCTCCAGCATCTCGGGCAATGGAATGAAAAATGTATGCGACGTCGGCGTCGACGCGGCAAACAGGGACTGGGCGAGTGGGCGAGGGAAAGGGGGGGGAGGCAACACCTGAGCCGCACCCTCGACGATGACGAAGATCTCTATGCTCCTCCAGGCGTCAGGCTGCTCGACGGCGAGGTAAACGATCGCATGGAGGGCACGGCGCTGGGCTGGGCGCACCACCTCGTCGACATCTATAGCGCGTCCTGGGGACCCAACGACGACGGCAAGACGGTGGAGGGCCCCGGCAGGCTCGCCCTCGAGGCCATGAAGCGCGGCGTCACCGAGGTGCTGGCGGGGAGCAGGTTGACTAACCGAGCAGGGGGGGGGGGCATGATCGTTTTTCTACCCACCACCTTTTCTCTCCCGCCTAAAGGGTCGTGGGGGGAAAGGATCCATCTACGTGTGGGCGTCGGGCAACGGCGGCACCTTTGGCGACAACTGCAACTGCGACGGCTACGTCAACGCCGTGTACACGCTGGCCATCGGCTCGGCCTCTGAGCGCGGTCACTTCCCGTGGTACGGCGAGCGCTGCGCCTCCACCATGGCCACCGCCTACTCGTCCGGCGCCTACTGGGATCAGATGATCGTAAGTCTCTACCCCCTCCCCCTCCCATTTCCTCTCCTCTCTCTCTCTCTCTCTCCCCTTTCCCCCTCCCACTCCCCTTTCCTCCCTTTTCTCTACCCTCGGTTTTTATTTTCCTCGGGATAGAAAAGGAAATCAGTAATCGGAACAATTAGAGGCATCGCGAAACGCGTGGTCAACTTGCAACTTTTTTCCGAGTCTAAACCCCAGCTCCCTGCGGCCAAGTACTTTCATCCCGTGCTGTACCTTTCTCACCTGATTGTCCGCCGCAGGCCACCACCGACCTCAGGAACTCGTGCACCATACGCCACACTGGGACATCCGCCGCTGCCCCTCTGGCCGCTGGCATCATCGCCCTCGCCCTCGAGGCAAAGTGAGAAGTACTGCAGCTCCCTGGAATGGAAATGAATAATTTGGAACTTAGAAATCCTTTTTATGAAGGCCCGTGGCTCCCTCCACCTCACACAATTTTTATAATCGAGTTTCTTCCTTTTGAATCTAAAAAACTACAATAACGAGATTGGATTTTAGCAAAATGATGAGAACAGGGCGCCCTTCTCTCATATGGTCCAAAGTTGATGAGTATAAGAGAACCCTGTTTCACGCGGTGTCAAACAGGTTGTGAACAGATATTAACAAGAAGTTTCCTTCATGATGAAACATTTAGCAGCAGTGTTCCTTACTCTACTCAGAACTAACTTTTCTTGGGAAATTGCTTTACCGACCTTCTCTTGTGTAGAGCCGACAAGTTCCTTCCGACTGACTGGAGTTTGATTGGCAGCCAGCCGAAGCTGAGGAACCGACAAAAGGCCCGTTAACCTCACTTTCTACCGAGCGAACGCCCCCCGCAAGCTTCGCATTGCATACTCACTCACCGTGCACGATCAAAATTACGCAAATGTGGGCATGGCAGGTCCGCAAGTTCATCCATCATTCAAACCAAGGCAACAAGTCGGCATGTGGCATTTCTCATTTGACGCAACGCAAGTAGAAAGCGATTTGTATGACACGAATTTATTGTCAATTACTTATCACAAGCCGCACATATATGTATAATAATGCTGGTGAAAAAATTGTTTTTCTAACGTAACAATTGAATCAATTTTTTAACGAAACACGAACTACAACTATACAAAGAAAACTTCCGGGCGGGCTGGGAAAGAGTTTCGGCCGCCATCGTCAACGCAGGGACGCCACGCGCCACGCCAGCTGGAGGTTAAAGGCAGGCTTGCCAGTCAAACGCAGAATCGTACAAAAATATATTGGCGAATGTTATAAGATTGTCTTTTGAATGTCAGAATTTTAA